CATTCTTTAGCTATAAATATGTACTTGGGTTACGTTATAATCAAGCATGAACAATTATTCAGAATAGTATCTCAAACCCTAATCTCTCTCAATTTCGTCACCTATCCTTAGGCCGTCGGCCATTCTTCTCCTTGATCCCCAATTTCCTCTTCTAAATCCCTAATCCTCAATTCTGTTCTTCCCCAATTCTATCTAAATCCCTAAATTCCTAGCGAATCCCAATCTCACCAACCAAATCGATAGAACCCTTGAATTAGGTTTCTATCATCTGGTATCAGAGCCCCGTTTCGGATACGAGTTCGTCATAACTCCCAACCGAGGACGGATTCTATAATCTGGTTTCAACGATGAGTTTATCACGACCCTTAACCAGAGAAGGGGCACGATTATTGTTTGAAGAGACGGATAAAGCAATCAGCTGACTCTTGGCGGAGATGCTTAAACGGAACGAAAAATGGGTAAGAGAAGCTCTGCTTTGCTCAGCTCGAAAGAGAGCACTCGCTCTAGCTTTGGAGACGGTAACACTTGAGCAAGTCATGAATCGAGAAAGCGGCGCCGCGATCGCCGACTCCATTCGCGCCGGTGCGGCTGAAGTCGAGCTCGGGAATGGGCTGGTCTCCTCGTCACTTGCCGAGCAGGGGACCGCCGGAGAAGAGGTCGTCGACAAGGGAATGGACGAAGGAGTGGTCCTCACTGAGGAAGGAGTCGCCGAAGAAGAAAGCGAAGGGCTTGCCGAGGAAGAAGAAGACCGACAAGGAGAAGAGGGAGGGCGGCAACCCTCTACCCAGCGCGAACCCTAGATCGCCATTGGGCCAAGGGGTGGCGGCTGCCTACCCTATTGGGACGAACCCTGGGCCGAGTTTGATACCGGGCCAACTATATTTGGGCCGAGAGGACCAACGGAGCGGACCGAGGGAGAAGCCGAGTGGGTTGACCGCCGTTGAGCTCGGGTCAGGTCAGTTGGTGCAACCAAATGGGCATCAACTTGAGATTAATTGGTTGGAGCAAAGGACAGGTCACGGGCCGAGCCAAGAAAAATTTCATGGGCTTCAAGGGAGAGATGACCCGAAACATCATGAATGGCTTAAGCTCCAATTGGGTTGTCTTTTGAAGAAGTTTGGCTGGGAGAATAAAGAAAGTGGGTCGATACAACAGGTACAGATTATGCTTCAGTTGGTCGATTTGGCTAACTCTCTTTCATATGTTGCAAGGAAGAAGGAAGAGGGGTTTGGAGGCTTAGCTTGTGGGTTTTCAGGAGAGTATGACCCAGAAGAAATTAAAGATCCAATAATGCAATTCAATGGTCTAAACCCTACAAAGAGTTTTAAGGGCCTTGCTGAGTTAGTTATTAAAGATAGATTCTTATACCAAGAAGTATCTTGGGATTCTTTAAGTTCATGGAGGGTGATGCAAATTATTATTATTAATAGTATTTATTAGGATTTATTTAGATATAGTTAGTAGTCTTTAAGTCATATTGGGATTGTCTATTAGGATTTTCTATTCTTTAGCTATAAATATGTACTTGGGGTTACGTTATAATAAAGCAAGAACAATTATTCAGAATAGTATCTCAAACCCTAATCTCTCTCAATTTCGTTACCTATCCCTAGGATGTCGCCATTCTTCTCCTCGATCCCCAATTTCCTCTTCTAAATCCCTAATTCTCAATTCTGTTCTTCCCCAATTCTATATAAATTCCTATCAATTCCCAATCTCACCAACCAAATCGATAGATCCTTTGAATTAGGTTTCTATCACCAGATAACTAGGATCCAAAACAAAAGAAGACTTGCTAATAAAGTACAGAACAAATGAAAGTAAAACTTGACTGAAACGTTCCTTCAGACTCATTAGCCATAGGGCTTATTGAGTAATATGATGTCGTTGGCGTCACCTAAACAACGTCAACAACTGAACGTTCCCTCTTTCCAACTGTAAAGCAGAACTAACTAAGAGCAATGACAGTTGAGCTTTGGTACCCCCATGCAGTACTCGATTTTGTTCAAGATCAAATGGTTCAAGATCTCTGTGAAAACAATAAAGAAACATTCGTCAAAAAAATAATATATTGTATGAAAGACAAGGGAAAACTGTTACATCGTTAATAGAACGAGAAATATATAAAACAAATCATAAAATAGTGGGAAGTAAGGTCTGTACTGGCATCAACCAAGGCAGCTGAGTTGTCTGAGCTTATAACAATAACATACTCCTTCCCCTGTAAACAGGTTGAAAGGCAGTAATTAAACAAGCAAACCTCTAACAAGCCTTCTGGAAAGTAATGTCAATGAAAAAAGACAACAAAAACAACTGTGCACCTTCATTAGTAAGACATCCAGTTCATCACGATTAATCAGAGAGCAGAATGCTGCCTGCTTGATCAGAAGGGCGCCTTCAGGTAGAACACATGAAAAACGATGTTCAATTTTTTTCGTCATAATCAGGTAACAATACGTTTGGGAAACACAAGCAAGGCCCTTTTACAGGCCCCAGAATAAGGAAGAGAAGGACAAACAGCGATAATGGGGCACAGAAGGAAGATACTCGACATCTGGCCTCTTAAATTAGAAATGACAGAGGAGTGGTTTGCCATAGGAGTTTCACATCTGGCCTCTTCTATGTTTGACCTGGAAATTTTCTCCACAAAATACAATAAAAGGACAACAATTAGATTTATCTATTTTACGAATATGAACTCAAGAAGGATATGTAATGGCTGCTTACCTTAGAGTATCATCATGAGTGGCACCGGAGTTTATAAGCACCAGTGGGATATCAGACCCATACTTCTTATTGAGAGCCTGGAGATGTAGCAGAATAAGTGAAACTCAGTCTAGTATACTGATGTGATAAATGAAAGACTACATACTAGGAAAACCAATGCGATTACCTGAATTTGATTCACAACTAAGTCAAGAGAAGTCAAACCGTCACATACTTCAACTAGGGACCTAGACATAGAAGCACATGGGCGGGATGCCAAAGAAAATTTATTACGCAAACCTCGTTAGAGCTATTGTACTACTTAATAAAAGGAAGGTTATTGGGACAGAATTGGTTGGAGTATAAATAAAGACAAGTAGTAGGAGCTATTATAACATAAAGGCTGCTAATGAGACATACGACATTGTTGAGCACACACTTAATAACCAATCATAATAGGTTCAGAAGAGATCAATGGTACCCTCTATAATGTGCATGGATGACATACAATTTGTGCTCTGACACTAGTGGGTATGTCGGATAGTTTATATGTTGGTGGCTATAGGATGTCATCCATCGCACCTGACATTCTCTGGGTTGGTTGTGGAGGCAATAATGAACATCAATAGGTACTAAGTTTGAGATCACTCTCAACATTCTTACACCTTTGTAAATAACAATCAGCTATGTAATAAGTGTTCGCATGGAGCTTAATTAGCCTTCTACAAGGCAATAATTAAAATGCCAAAAGGCAGGATTTAGCTTTAGGGTAGGAAGCATTTGCTTAGTAATAAACCATTTGATAGGGTACATTAGGTTTTGAAAGCTTTCAAATACTTACAGTTACCTTAAAAATTTTGGGCAAATGTGTGGAAGTAAAAAAAAGAAAAAAAAACCAAAATGGCAAAGTATGAAAAAAGCCAGTGCTATCAGTTATACATATTATCAGTGCAAGACTGGATAATGCTTACTTAGGGCCGTTAAATCCTACAGCTGTTCCAAAGTACCATTGAGCTTCACCACCACAAGCTTATCCAAGATCTGCCTAGTTCCCACAGACCACTGCTTAGTTAATGGCTCTTGAAAGGGTGGAATCCGATCACAGACCACTGCTTATTCAATGGGGTGATGGCCGGAAATTGAAACGTCCTTGGAAATTCGAGAATATGTGGTTAGAAGACGAACGTTTTCACAGTGAGTTAAGTGAGTGGTATGGCTCTCAGGTTCAAGGAAGCGGGTCTGTTTTTATTTTGGCTAGGAAACTGCTGAATTTGAAACAAAAAATTAAGGTATGGAATAGGGAGGTCTTCGGTGACATTCATTCTAAAGTGGAAAGTCTGCTAAAGGATATTCACGATCTGGATATGAAGGAGGAATCTCGGCTTCTTTCTGACGAAGAAATCGCCGTCAAGTTGAATAAAAAAGTTGAACTCTCTAAAGCTCTGTTTATGCAAGAAATTTGCTGGAGGCAAAAATCCAAGGAATTATGGCTTAAAGTGGGCGACAAGAACTCCGGTTTCTTTCACAAGGTGGCTAACTATAAGAGAAAACTGAATTTCATTAGTCGGATTAAAATTGATGGGCAGTTTGTTGAAGACAATGAAGCTTTTTCCCAAGGCATTCTGGACTTCTACATAAACCTTTTCCTGGAAGACATTCATTGTCGTCCTTTTCCAAGGCTTTATTGGGGGAGAAGGTTGAATGAGGCTTCCGCTGCCGATCTGGAAATTCCTTTCTCTGAAAAGGAGATCTTAGAAGGCTTATCAGACTGCGATGGGAGCAAAGCTCCGGGTCCCAATGGTTTCACGTTCGAATTCTTCAAAAGATGTTGGGCAGTCATTAAGAATGATGTCTTGGCTGCTTTTCATAATTTTCACGAGACTGGTTTTCTTCCCAATTATGTGACGCATTCCTTTATTTGTCTCCTGCCTAAGAAGGATGTGACAGAGGAAATCAAAGATCTTAGACCAATTGGGCTCATGAACATCATAAACAAGTTAATCTGCAAGGTTCTCTCTAGAAGACTTGCCAATGTCCTACCCTCTTTGATCTCGGACCAGCAGCAAGCTGCCGTCCAGGACAAACAGATTTCGGAGGCGGGACTCATTGCCAATAAATTGGTCGACAGTAGAAGAAGGAGTGGGAGACCAGACCTTATGCTCAAAATTGACATTGAGAAGGCTTTCGACAATGTAAATTGCAATTGCCTCTTCAAAATTCTTTCAGAACTGGGCTTTCAAAACAGATGGTGTAAATGGATCTAGGGTGCAGTATGCTCTCCGAACCTATCCATCATGATTAATGGCGAATCGAAAGGCTTTTTCAAATCTTCAAAAGGTCTCCGTCAAGGAGATCCCTTATCCCCGGGATTGTTCGTCTTGGTCATGGATGTCCTTTCCTTCTTACTGTCCAAGCTTAGGCGCGAAGAGAAGTTCGAAGGTTTCTATATGGATGAAAGAGGACGGAGTGGGGAGGTTACTCATCTTCTTTTTGCGGATGACACCCTGATTTTCTGTGATGTGTCCCGCGATCAGGTGCTTCATCTCTTGGCAACTCTTGTGTGTTTCCAGGACATCAACGGTCTCAAGATCAATCTGGAGAAAACGGTTATGTACACTGTAGGCGATGTCCCGAAACCAGATTTTTTTGCTGACATTTTCGGATGCAGATGGTGTAAGGATCCTCCCAAATACTTAGGTTACCCGCTTGGTGCTAAGCTGAATTCAAATTCTCTATGGACTCCCAGCATCGACAAATACAGGAAGCGATTGGAAGGGTGAAAATGTCGCTACTTGTCGGCAGGAGGTAGACTCACTTTGAACAAAGTCGTGCTCTCCAGTTTAACAGTTTATTATTTCTCTTTGTTTAAAGCTCCAATAAATGTGGTGGATAGCATGAAGAGAATGCAGAGACTTTTCATTTGGAATGGTAATAGTGATAGAAGGAAAATCCCTCTGGTGAATTGGAATATATGCAAAGCACAAAAGGAGGATAGCGGCCTGGGTATTTTCGACTTGGCTTGTTTCAATTCTGCTCTTCTAGCTAAGTGGCTGTGGAAATACGCTACTAACAGTAATAGTTGGTGGCGGTCTTTGATTGACTGTAAGTACCCGAATGAGACTTCTATCTGGCATACTGGCATAGTTAGATCGAACAGTTCTACCTCGGTCTGGGCAAATATCACTCGTGAACTTGAGATTTTCTGGAAATACGCTCATATTGACCCCGGTGGAGGAACCCTTGTCTCCTTCTGGTTCGACCGTTGGATTCCCGGCATCGATCTTGCTAGCACCTACCCTTGAGTCGCCGTTGTCGCCTCAAAACGAGAAGCCAGGATCAGCGACATCTCCTCTGTTTCAGGTGATGTTTTATCTTGGGTTATTGACATTAATCATAGTTTGAGAGGGGGGGGGCTGAGAGAGAGAGACTGAATCTTCTCGATCTCCTTAATTCAGTTAATTTCCTTGCTGGTTCTTATAGCCCTTGTAGAGTCGTTTGGTCCCCGGACCCCGAGGGTGGTTTTTCTGTTGCTTCTTTGTACAGGTAGGGATGGCAAAAATATCCGTAACCGTGGATATCCACCCGAATCCGACCTAATCGGGTGGGTAAAACCCGAACCAGAAATATTTTTTGTGGGTACGGGTAAAACCCGAACCCGAATATTCCGGGTAATGGGTAGGCATGGTTATCTCACTATCCAACCCGAACCCGCCCGATTATACACATGCATATGTATTTTGTCTATAAATAATCATTATTTTTCCCTAGAATATTTTATATTTAGCATATAAATATAATATTTTCATGGAATTATGTTGTTTTAATTAATTTTCGTCATTCTAGTGAATTATTGTCGTACTTTTCCTCTTACGTAATGTGAATATACGTGTGAATGTTAGCATATTGGTTGGAATTATAAGGAGAAATTATTACCCATGGATAACCGTGGATACCCGAAACCCGAACGGGTATGGGCATGGTTTTGATTTTCTACCCGTTTCTCGTGTGGATACGGGTATGGGTAAAACCCGAACTACATTGGGTAGGGTAACGGATATGCACTATCCGCCCCGACCCGACCCATTGCCATCCCTATGTACAGGTCCTTGATCAAAGACATGTTCCCAGGTGTGCAGAACTTCCCTCACGCATCTATTTGGAGGAATATTGTCCCTCCAAAGATTAACTTCTTCATGTGGATTCTCACGCTTAAAAAAGTTCTAACCATGGACAAGCTTCAGAGACTCGGTTGGCATTTGGCGAACAGATGTGTTATGTGCCAGAAGGAGGAAGAAAATGCTAGACACCTCTTTCCCAGTTGTAGTTTCATCTCCAAAGTTTGGGACGTGATCCGGAATGGATGTAGAAGCAGCAGGATGCCACAGCTTCCCACGAATATTGACATCTACTTGGTGGTTCAGGATTGGCCTCGTTCTTCGCCTTCTAATTGTGATGCTTGGTTTATCTATTGTGTTTTGCACGCGATTTGTTGGAATATTTGGATGGAACGCAACAGAAGGATTTTCAATGATTGCTACCTTACTCCAGAGAGAACGGTGAGGAAGATTATCAGGATGGTTGTTGGGTGGATGGTAGCTAACGGAAAGGTTGAGAGGAGTCTAGCTACTGCTTGGATGGGTTTGTTTTTGCAGCAAGTTTGATCTTTTCAGGCCCTTAGGACTTCGTCTTTTACGATGGGTTCTTACTCACTGTCTCCGGGGCTGGACTATGGTTTTTTGCTTTCGTTTGATGAAGGAGTCCTTATTGAGTTGCTGATCTTTGGAGGTCTCTGGTTGCCGGTTTGTATGCTGTGTTTCTTTTCTTAGGCGAAGGGATCCTGGCGTTGATACTGGTCGGTTCCCCTTGTTGGTGCGTAGAATGCGGCTGCTGTTTTCTCGATGGGAGCTGATGTGATGTGTCTGTGACGATGATGTGTCCGTAATGATGGTTTCTGCTGTTTTCTTCCCAAGTGTGTGTTCGTGACGATGATGTGTCCGTGATGATGGTTCTTTTCTGCTGAAGGGTTGTCATTTGGGTTGTGGGGGCATCTGGATCTGCTGAAATGCTCGTGAGGTGCATTTTCGGTAGTCTGGACTTGTGCATTTTTGTTAGGGAGCTGGATGTTGGGTGTTTGGTCGCGGATGATCAGCGATGGGCAGTGTGAAGTGTGACTGGGGTTGTGTTGTTGCTACCTTTGTGCCCGCTTTTGAGCTGTTGTCGTCTGTGTGTTTGAAGTGTTTTGTATTGAGAGTGCTGTCAATGTTTTTTATTTTGTTTTCTGGTTGCAGGGGCTTCTCGGCTTGCCCAACAACCTTTTGCTTCCTTTTTTCTGTTGGTTTCGCTTGTTATGTGATGGGGTTACACTGCTCGTGCCCTTTTTTGTTTTTTGTTTTCTTTTGCTCTTTGTTTCAAATTGGGACTTGAGCTCTGGTTTCTTTTCTAATGGAATTATCACCATTATAAAAAAAAAAAAGTTGCCATTTCATAGCTGTGCAATGTGTAAATGAAACAAACCACAGAAAAAATCAGAGGAACCACCTTCAAAAATAGGTGCTAATCTCTCATAATGAAGAACAAGAACTTCATCAGTTAAAAATCTTATTCTGTTCATACTGACACACCGGTGGACTTCCTTCCTACAATGCAGAATTTTGATTAAAACCTCAACCAACCAACCAAACTACACAACTGACTTATCAATAAAATAAACCATTAAGCCTCTTTTAACAAAGCAGAAACAAAGAATTAAGTCGATCATTGCCATCTATTCCATAGGCTAAATGCTCTCTGGCAATGGCAACAATAGCATAGACTAAATTCATCCCAAAGCCTCCTTCTCTGACATCTTATACTTGCTTCACGTACCGCGGCACAAATAATCCACTCTAGAGACTTCTAAAGTTCACAGAAACAGGTAGCATCAAAAGAAGTGGCAGCACCACGATATAGGCTGATCCCAGCTTCTTTCACACTCTCAAGAACTAGGCACCAATACTTATGCTCCCAAAGCAATACTCATGATATATACTTACTATATCAGAGTATATTACCCAAGTTCGTTTGTTGAAGTTGCTGGCTCATCTTCAACTGTATGGTATCTCCCTTGGCTTCTCTCATCTTCTTACACTCAAGCAAGAAAGTCTTGGTAATGATGTTACAGAACAAGTACACGAATTCCATTGAATCATTAGCAGGCAAAAGATAAGAAGTCTTCTCGTAATACTCCAGTGGTAAACTTGAATCCACGAGTGCTACAACGGGAACTTGAAGCCTAGCAGCCTCCAAAATCACTGAGCTCTTCCTGTCCGTCTCCAACACCACAACATAATCTGGCAGTTGTACTGGAGCAAAACAAACCTTTTAGAATCAACAAAAAGGGAAATCATTTATTTCAAAAACCAAGCAAGGGAAAAATAATTAGAACAATACAATTACTCTGTAAAGACTGAATATATTAGAATCCAAAAGCATGGATTTCTGTTTCGCCCATTAGGTCTTTTAGACCAGCTTATTCTATTTCCTGGAGTTCAATATAGACAAGGTATGTTGTGTTTGTATCATCAACAAGAACCTCCTTCTTATGATAATCAAACAGACAATCCAACAACCACCAGCTACAGACACAAACTTCTACATATTAACTCTGCATATATCAATCGAAAGGAACATGTCGTGATTATATGCGATTATCTGCATTCAAATTCCATGGTCCATTGGTCCTAACAAATGCAACAAAACAAACACGGGGATTCACTGTTCACAAATTACGCATCTCAGAGAACACTATACTCAAGTGGAAACAAGCAAACTTCAATTCATACCAAGTGCATGGGGAACATTGACAGGTGCAAACCTTCTTATGTCTGGAGCGGAACTTCTTGGACTGAAACTGTTGGTAAAAAACCCACCCATTTTCAAACTAACCTTATCCCTTGGACTATATACCCTAATCTCTTCGTCGTCTGCTGCACTATCTCATCAAAAAGTGGGTAGGTGTTGACAACAAGAACCGGGCTTTCTTCTCTCCAGCCAAGTGTGCAATAAACTTGTAGCATTCAAGACCTATCAGAGTTTTGTTGGAATCAATCATGGACACCCCGTCCCGTGATCCTTTTGGTGAAGATCTTGAAGTGGTGAGCCACAGCTCGCTTGTCCAAATGTGCATTGGTGCTGAGTAGCTTCTGTATAACAACTGAATGTATAGTCATCCCCAGATCGGAGTATCACTAGTGGCTAGCGGTAGTTCTGATAGAGAGATCAAGCTCGGAGACAATCAAGCACAGGGCACTCCGAGTCCCTGGTATACCATCTGCAGTGATTACAAAATTGAGACGACGAGAAAAATAACAAATCACAATGTCAGCATTTTTGATTCGAGAGAATCACAACCCTTCTTAGCCATTTCCCACAGAATTCAGCAGGTTCACCTGTAAATAAAACAACCAGACCAACACCCTCCTATCTATTTTCAAGCTTGCATATCTGAAATCAACACTTGATAATCAGATGTTGAGCCTCGGGGTCGGTTAGCATGCTAACCCCCCTTAGGGGTTAGAAAAATGACACCCCCTAGTATATTAAATACAACTATAGAATTTAATACACACATTAAATACACATTAGGAATTAAATGTACCATATTAATTAGGAATTCTCTCACTATTAAATACACATTAGGAATTAAATACACACATTAAATACACATTAGGAATTCTCTCACTATATTTGATTTTTCCTTTTTCAGCAGTCTCCGACCACCAGACTTCCTCCGACCGCCAAGCTTCTCCAGTGAAAATCCCATCGGCAGACTCCCTCCGACCACCTCCAAAAAATATACCACTGCACTGATACGGTGTACCACTGTACTGGTAGATATACCATTGCACTGATACGTTGTACCACTGTACTGGTAGATATACCACTACACTGGTAGCGATATCAGTGCACTGGTAGCAATGTCATATCTGAGTATCAGTGCAGTGGTACAAATACCAGTAAAGTGGTAATTAATGTGGTGTATTTAATGCTTACTTTGTATTTAATAACAGAACATTTATTATCTTTACTTTCATTAATACTTGTCAATAATTAATGAAAAATTGACCAATTAAAAGGGGGGTGTCAAAAAACCAACCTCTTAAGGGGTTAGCATGCTAACCCGTCCCTGGAGCCTCAAAGTAAGGCTAGCTCAGTTGTAAACCCTCCAAAGTACGAAGCAAGGAAACGAGGGACTTGTTCCTCCCATAATATAGACTTGTTCTTTGTGTTGCCGCCAACATCGAGTTGCTGTGTGAGAATCGCAACTCGAAGTTGTGCATGAATTGAGATTATTTCAGGACACAGGTGAACCGTTTGATCGAATATAAATGAATTTAGAACGAACATTGTGTAAAACTGAGCTCAAAAGAGTTGAAGGGAAGGCTATAACAGATAAACAGGGTAACATAATAATGTAGATAGTTCATGTCCACAAAATTGTCAAAAGAGTTTGATTAGTTAGCGGTATCTGAAACCACCACCTAAGCACATAAACTAAACAAGGTAAATTTTTTGACAAACCAACCAAATATGACCGATTAAAATACTTACAACCACCCTATTTGAACAACTCCAACTAAGCATAAACTCTGTTAGTTATCTTTTCATCTCCCCCTTCTTGCCCGCGAGAGATCCTCCTCGAGTGTACTTACTCGCCCATAAAGGGCCTTCTTCTCATCTTCGGAATCCTTTAAGCGCTGAGATATATCAGCCAATTTTCCCTCGAGGTAGGTAACCTTGCTAGGAAGTCTTTCTTCGCAATCTAATTTCCTCGTCCCATATAGATCTTCCGTCTCTTTAAGTCGAGTTTTCACATTGCTCAAGGCACCATCGGACTCTTCAAGCATAATTTGCAGCCCTGAAATTTTGGATTCAGACCACTGTTGCATTTTCTTCATATCAGTATCCATGGATTGAGAGAATAATGCTGCCGCTGCAGTCCGCTTGGCTCTTCCCTTTTCCAACCTACCATTCAATACTTCAATTTTCTTCAATAAGCTAAGCTTATCTTTTTCACCTTCGGCCTTCAACTGATCTAATTGCTCGGATAATCTATTATATTCTTTAATGCCTTCAACCTGAAGCTTGGACAGATTCATCATCACACCGTGAACCCTGCCCTCGAGGTGTTTCTTCTCAGCAAAAACTTCTTCCCGTTGCTGCTTGAGAATATCAACTTCCAGTTGGTTCGCGAGAGTTTCAATTTCACCCATTTTCTCACCAACTGAGGTGGACGTACCTGAATCCAACAATTTAAAGCTTCGTGAGGTTATAAACCACAGGAACAGTTGCACTCAGCAGGTAATTATAGCAACAAAGAATCTAGCAAAAAGCGGGGAATGTAAGTATAACGGGTAACTAACCGGTGGTGGCGGCGGCTGGAGAAGAGGGTGGACACGGCGTCGGAGGCCGCCGGAGAAGACGGTGGACGCGGCTGCCGGAGAAGACTGGAGGCGCCGCGTCTCCAGAAGAAGCCGGACGCGGCGCGACTGCGGGAGAAGAAACGGTTCAGTTAGGTTTCCGGAGATGCTTTGATGAAGGCCGACTTAGTATATATATCTAAGGGATAATATCCACTTTGGCCCAAAGTTTGATGTTAGTGACAGTTTTGTCCCGAACTTTTGAATATTACAGTTATACCAACTTTTCAAATAAACAGACAAATTTGGCCTGCTATTTGAATTGACCGCTAAAACTTACGGATAACAATATACTGGATTCCTAGCCCTAACTTTTTATAATTGTCGCCCTAAATTAATCAAACAGACAATATTACCCCCGCCCATCGCCCTAATCCCTTGCCGGTGGAAGAAAAATCCAGCTGATGAAATACACTAGCGGCTGAAGAATCGCGCCCTGTTGCTCTGCTGTTCGGTTGACGGAAACCTTCATAGCTGCTCTACTGCTTGGTTGAAGAAAAACAAATCGACTGCTCTGCTTTCAGGGCTGCTCGCTCCGCCCCGTCTCCGCCGCCAGGACTGTCGCTCCATCGATGAGAGAAACACATCCTGCCCCACCGGCCGTCTTTGCTACTGATGGATTCTGAATTGTCGGGTTCAACCGTCTGCCGATCGATGGTTTTCGTAGCAGGAAGAAGGAATCCGTCGCGCCGAGGTTCTTCGCGGTCGAGGAAGGAGGAGGAAGAAGACGGATCGTCGCGGTCTGGTTCATCGCGGTTGAGGAGGGAGAGTGAAGCCTGATCGTCGACACTCCTTCATCGACCTTCCGTCGACTGTCAGTAGGGCTTCACTTCTTCAACCCCTGCCATTGCCTCGCCGGAATTCTCTCCACCCGGATCAAGTCCCTCAACGTTCGTATCGAAACCAAAACAAAGGGTCAACGAGCCACCGCGAGAAATCCTTAGGTCGATGATAGCAGCACTCGGCGACGACGAAGATTACCAGCAGCACTCCCAGCCGCTTCGAGGAATCCCTAGGTCAATTTTGACGTTTTTTATTCATAGGATTAGCACTCCCAGCAGCAGCCGAAGACTTCCAGAAGCCCTCCCAGACGACGGCGACGGGTGTTAATCCTGGGCGAAAATTTGTTAGGAAATTTTTTGGGGGCAAAAACGTCAGATTAACTAGTTAGGGCGACAAAATTTAAAAAATCTAGGGCGTTAATTAGTACGTCCCAACAATATAACCGTTAGTGAGTCAGCAAGCTATGCTGACTAGGCATGACATGTCATTTTTTATTTGTAATCTCGCACTTTTTTTCTTAAACAAAAGAAAACTAAAAAATATATATATTGAAGAGGACATGAGGACCACTGTCTCCACTCTCCTCCCCTCCCCCATCGTTCTCACTCCGCCATCAACCTCCTTTAGTCCTCCCCATCCGTTCCCGACCGAGAACTAGGCGAGCACGCTCCTAACGATTCTTACACCGTCGCCGCCTTGTGTTGATATTAAATTTGATTGATTATTTATTTACTTGTCTTTCTGCTCCCATTTAAATTCGAGAATTAAATTGAAGTCAAAATTATCATTTTGGCTTTAATTTATCCAATTTAAAATCACTACTTTATTACTTTCTTATCATCGGTTACTGCTCCGTTCAAATTCGAGCTCTACTTTCATTTTCTGAATCGCTAAACGTCGCCCTTAAAATTGCTATTGGTCGCCCTAATTATAAAGTAAATTACCTATGTACCCCTAACTTAAATTTTAAAATTCAAACAAACAAACAACTCCTAAATAAACCCTACCTGTCCCTACCTCTTCCCACGACAAATGGCCGCCGACCCACGTCCATCCCGCCGCCAACAGCCCAACACCCACCTCCACCGGCACCCTCCTTCCGTCGTCGGCCTCCCACGGCGCCAAAGAAGACGACCGGCATAAGCAAAATCCGCCGCCAACCACCTGTCCACGGCGCCCCCAGTCAACCAGTCGACCAACCGCCAAAAGACCATCGTCGTCCACGCACGTCGCCGGCCATTCGATCTCCTTTCCCGTAGTCCGTCGTCGTCACCGGCTATGTGCTCTCCCACCCGCGCGCCAGTTGTCGCCAGAGAACCTTGACCGCCGTCGAAGTGCTGTTGATCCATCGGACAACCACGGTCAACGCGCGGTTGGTCCATCGGCCGACCGCAGTCATCGCGCGGTTGCACCATCGGTTGGACGCGGTCAACTCGCGGTCGGCCTATGGACCAATCGCACGTTGGTCGCGGTTGGCTGACGGTCAAACTGTGCGTTGACCGCGATTGGTGGTTTTTTTTGCAATTTTAATTTTTAATTAATTATTTAAATGTATAATAAATTGTAATTTAATTAATTATTTAAATATAAATTTAGTATTATAAGTTATAATAATGTAAATATAATAATAAGTGGATTCTTCGTTCCCTCTTATTTGATAGATTTTTTTCCCCTAGTCTATGTGGTGTTTGTTTCCTAAGGGAAAATAAAGAAGTTAAATGGTTAAAAGTGTAACTTCCACATTTTTTAGGGCGATCTTTAGCAATTTTAAGGGCGACCTTTAGCAACTCCCTTCATTTTTGCCTCTACCGTATCTTACCCAATTTGAGCTTCATGTATTTATTTCCTTCCTTCCTTTGTTAGGGTTGTACTTTGAATAATTATTCATTAGTCATTACTATATTTTTGACAAGGGAATAATTATTCATTAGTCATTACTATAATGATTACAGGTTATGCATTTTCCCATATTATATATATTTTGTAGCAATGGTATTTTTAATTGTTTTGTGACTAATTATGTTACTTTTTTATTTTTCTGTAGTAGAATTATATAAATCGTCAATCACCATTGATGTTATGCCTCTTTCTTAGTGGTAGATTTTAATATCTTCAGATATGGATTTCTAGCATTATATAGTGGATTCTTTTGAGTTCACCACGTTCCAGGGGAATCTTATCGTAATTAAGATACATGAAGGACGTACAATCGACCTCATCTGTATATCAAGATGCTTCAAAGAGGAAGTCTACCATTCGGAAGCCGACTCTATTATAAAGGAAGGTCTTCTTTCTCTCTTCTCACTCCCCGTGTCAGTTTCGTGTCATTTTGCTCCTTAGAGCTGCCCATCTCGTGACATAACAGACTCTTTCATCGGGAGTCTGATTGTATACGGACTACGGTTCTTTATTATCATATTTATATTTTTGTTGTTGTTCGACCATGCCCTAGAGGCTTATTTTGGATTAAAAAACGCATCCCAATCATTATATTCTTTCTCATAATCCTCCTTGTATCTTGTAAAAAAATATAATTGTAGTGAACATAAACTAATGATTCTGCACTATCAGTATTTAGCCTAATTCTTTTCACATTATGGATGAAACTATGCACTCTAAACTCTTTCAGTACAAGAGGTATTAACATTTCGAGACAATACCCTCACAGCCAAACCATACAATGCTAGAGCTGTTGCACCATGTAAATTACACCATCAACTAGGGGTGGGCAATAGGCGGGTTGGGTGGATTTTGGTTTCAAATTGACCCACCCGCTGACTAGCGGATTGGTATAATTGTCACCCACTATCCACCCACATTCTTCTGCGGGTTGGTTGGGTCGCGGATGGGTGCGGTTGGGTTGTGGGTTAACCCGCAAAAGCAATTCTCCACCTAGCGGCTAAGAAAGTTTCAGAACATTATACTAAGTTCCTTGTAAATTAGTAAGATTGTAACAATTTAAACACTTCCCACTTTGTCTAATGTGAATCCATGTAGTATTTACATCAAAATTTTCAATACTCTACCAACCAATTGTGTAAATAATTTGAGAAAACAGACGCATTTTACGATTTTGATAAAATGAATAGTTTATAATGTGAATCCAATATCTAATGGATATTACGCAACACAATAACGAATAATAGTAGTCTAATAATATTCTTTATTCTCAATTTATAGTAGTAGATGGCTAGTGTGTAGTGCGGTTAGGAAATATGATGAATATTCGATAGCATAAGAAAAACCATTTTATCATGTAAAAATATAGTGCGGGTCATTCGAGTGACCCACCATCCACCCACCATCCACCCACATAAGTGCGGGTAGGAGATTTATCAACCCGCAATCCACCCACATCAATCACCTACTACTTGTGGTTCGGGTTATTTGCCGGTGGATCGACAAAAACCCGCGGATTAATCACCGCGGGCCCACCCCTACCATCAACGACATGTAGTACTTCTCTATCAAACATTGGTTTCGGACAAGCAAAAATGACCTAAATGATCATTAAATTAGTTTAATCTAAAAATCCACTAACAATCTGTTAACAATCAACAAAAATATCCTAATGCGACGAATTGTGATTTGTGAATCCTAAACTAAGAGCAATAAATCCTAAAATTGACGAATCTCATTCCACCTAAAGTGGTTGTCGTATGTTTTAACCTGGTTAAACTTGTGCCGGTCATGAAACCGGCATGACACCACCGGTATGATCGGTATAATCGGCTTACGCGTTCTAAACAAAATGATATCATTTTAATGAATTTAATTAATAAAAATATTAATTTAATCAACAAAATGATATCATTTTAATGAATTTAATAGTTAAAAGTTAATGATATTTGTTTGTAACTAAATTGTCCACAAATATGTTTTATATATGATTAAATATATTGGACATTAATTGTTTTCACACGTTTTTAAATTGGCTTGAACCATCACAAACAGATTATACCAACGGTCGTACCATTCCACTTGCCAAACCGACACAAAGGTATAAATCG